TCATGTGAAATATTTAAAGGGAATTCTAATCAATTAATTTCTAAAAACTTTTTTTTTACGTTTTAAATAACAACGAAAAATTTGTAAAGAAATTATACGATTTATTAAAACGATACGATAAAATTCTAATATAATAAATGATAAATTTAATTGAACGATATAGAAACGTGATAAAAACGTATTATTAATTAATTTTTATTAAACAATTTATAAACAACGTAAATTAATCTAACTAATGCGCGAGCATAATGATCGTTTTTTTTTTAGCTCGATCAATGGCAAGATGACATTCTCACGAATAAGAAATAAAAACAAAACGAAAAGAAAAAAAAAAAAAGAAACAAAGAAAAGAAAAAAAAAAAAAAAAAGAAAAAAGAGAAAAAAGAAAAACAACGACATTTCACATTTAACTCCATTAAATAACTATCGAAAGCAACGAACCCATTTCCATCGAACCCAATTTCTTCTTAGTTACGATCAAAACCGGAAATTACGTTCTCCTTTAAACTCGTTAGAAGACGAGTCGCGATCGTCGTTTAAAAAAATGTACACGGCCTCTCACAGAACTGTTTTCTCGTTTACGTGACGAACAAAATCTCATCTACGAGTCGAAATTTTATTCGACACGAAAACGTTAAAACGAAAAGTTTATCCAACGTTGATCGAGCCTATTTGTTCTTTTTCTTTTTTTTTTTTTTTTTCATTTTTTTAATTATAAAATTCCATAAAATTCCATCGAACACGTTAAGTACCGTAGTCCTTCTGATTTCGTTCTCGTATTGGAAAAAAAGCAAAAGGAAAAAAAGAAAAATCAGATCAAACGAAAACTCACGAAGAAGTGAAAGTTAATATAAAATAAATGGTTTTATCTTACCTTCAATAAAAATACTACTTACATTATATTATACTCTCTTTCATTCAGTAAATTCGATGTTGTCGATTGGTTATATATATACATATATATATATATATATATATATATATGTATATATTATTTTCTTTTGAACAGCACAAATCACTTTTCTAACACGCACAATTCAATTTTACGCATTTCTAATGTACTCTAATATTACGTTTGAAATGTAGAAATGAGATTCAACACTTCTCTCCTATGATGTTTTCACTTGAGTATCCTTATCGTTAATGACCGATTAGAAGAGAAGAGAACACGAACAGGATCGATAACTATTTATTTTCATAGGTTATATTTATTTACATTAGGCTCTCTTTCCTTTAATCCCGACGTATATCACGTTTTAACGAATAAAAGGGAGAAGTGGGGGAAATAAAAGAGGAGGAAGAAGAAGAAGAGAAAAGGAAAACAATCAAATATAGTAAACAAAGCGATCGTACGTATCGATAAAAATACATACAACGAGAAGGACGAATGAAAAATCTTATTATTATCCTATAGGCCTACACATACATACATATATATATATATATATATATATACGTATGTATAATATTATGATTTGAAAGGAACGCGTACGACGTACAAGCATTTGCTCTTTCAATCTGAAACGTGAATTAAAAGCAAATAGATAAATAACCAGTATTTTCTATATCAAACGTAAGAACGGACACGATGAACGAGATTATTTAACGTTAATGACCAACGCCATTCTATATAATCTATGTAATAACATTAATAAAAATTTTATTTATTTTCATTTAATTCCATTGCGTATATTTAACATTTTTTTCTTTTCTTTTTTTTTTTTTTTTTTTTTTTTGCCTTTTCTTCTTCCTTTTAGAACATCTCTGTTTCAAATCTATTCATAATCTATAATATCACTCGTGAATCTATCGTAAATTTATATAATTTCAATTTTTATATATATATATATATATAAATAAAATAAATATAATATTATATATAAAATAATATATATATATATATATTACATATAAAATTTCAATTCAATTCTTTTGTATTTTTAATAAACGATAAAAAGGATAGAAATAATGAAAGGACAAAAAAAGAAAATTAATAAATCAATTTAATTAACATGAATTAATTTAATTGCATAGAATCCAATCGAACGATTTAAACAAAACAAAAATCCCTATATATTATATTCTAATCTCTAATGCATATCTATAAAATAATAAATAAGATTGTATAAAAAGGGACGATAAAATTTGAGAGAAATCCTTTCGTTTCTTTCGTCATGTATTTTTATCGATTCGCATTCGAAGTTGTTCGATTTTCTCCTTTTCGATCGATAAAATTGTTCTCTTCCGAGATCGTTATGATCGCGTGAAAAGATTTAACGAAAAAAAGAAAAAAAAAAAAAAAGATAAAAAAGAAAAGATAAAAGGAATAGGCGGAAAGAAATTTGGATTTTCTATGGTTTATGATCATCTTTAAGCGGTTTCGTCGGTCATTCGCTGTTATTGGAATAATAAAAAAAATATGGAAAAGAAAGAATAAACAAACCACAACCAAATGCATACATATATATATATATATATATATATATATATATATATATATATCCCTAAGACAGACGCTTTCCTTATTACCAGTAAATGTTTCTCGTAAACTTCGAGAACCAGCATTCCCTCAAGAACGTGGGCTGGTGAACGGTGAACTCCGTTCTTTACGTATGATACGCAATATTCTACAAGTAGAGGTATATGTTAGTATATATAGAAAGAGAGAGAGAGAGAGAGAGAGAGAGAGAACTACGGTACATATACTACAGTATCAGTTAGTTCATTTCATGGAAACCTGGCCAAGTCGATTAGCCACAATTAACTCCGATGCAATTTAAAAATTTACATCGACCTCGAATTATCTTTCGCGTTACGGTAGAAAAATCATTTTTATAAACGTGAAAATAAACGCAGATTGTTCTATATTCGAGTGTTAATAATATTTCATATTTTCATAAATTTCATAAAAATATCAAATATATACGATATGTGTGTGCATAAGAGAATAATAAAATTAAAAAAATAAGATAAATATATATATATATATATATATATCGTTGATTATCACGTAACATCCTCCTTTTTGTTTTCCTTTTTCATTGTTTTTCCTTTTTCTCTTTTTCTCCTGTCTTTTATCTTTTTATCAGTTTTTTTTTATTTCTTTTTTTTTTTTTTTTTTCATTTTTTTATTCGCCGAAGAAGGAATAAACAACGAAAAGTTCGTATCGAATTTTTGTTTTAACGATTAAAAGCAGTCACCACTCGGCTAACCATTTACAACTTACGGTAATTACTTGTTATTATGTAAGTGTACTTCCTGCTCTTGGTACTACTCGTTCTAGTCTATGTTGGGATGCCTTTTAAAAGTCTCTCCCCTTCGAATATTCAATATGTGAAATCTGACGTAAGAAAGTTATATCAATTTTTATTGGATTAAGTTTATTTATATTAAAATAACTAATTAATCATTTCAAAATTAAATAAACCTTATCGCTCTATCGTTTCTATCATTATCATCATCATTATTATTATTATTATTATTATTATTATTATTATTATTATTTTATTAATTAGAATCGATAAAATGATTATTATTTGTTCCTAATGAATTTTAATAAGATTCATTAGAAGGATCAAATTTTAATTGACAAAAAAATATTTTAAAGTATAAACGAAAACGTTTGAATGAAATTGGAAAAAAAATTCTATGTTAGATTTGTACTTGTTAATGAAACAGATAGAATAAATAAAGAAAGAATTATCAGGAAATTAATCGAGGGATTTGTAAATCCTTACTAGGTATACTTGAAGTCGTTCGACGACCTACACTTTACAGTTAGAGACTACACACACACACACACACATACACACACACATACGCACACATATACATATACACATCGTCTTTCTCTCTCTCTCTCTCTCTCTCTCTCTCTCTCTCTCTCTCTCTCTCTCTCTCTCTCTCTCTCTCTCTCGTACAGCGAACAAACTTATGGAGTTAGCTGTTAAAACGCTTTCCCGCGAGAAATAAGAAACTCGAAACATTAAAAGTGTTTAGATTCGACGGAGCTCTCCCGTGGCAAACCACGTGCTCTTTTAACTTTGCGAGAAGGAATGCGATGCCGCGAAACAATGGCGAAAGGCGTCGATCACGTTTCTTGAATTTAAAAATATTCCGTTGAAACTTGCGTACCCGAGCTAAGTTATTTATTCGAGAATAAAAATACATGGATATTTAAAATCTAAGTAATTAATTAATTATCAATGTTCATCAAATCAATATCGACAAAAAAAATTCATTTCGTTCGTTAAAAAATGGATTTCAAACGAACAAAAATTAAATATATTATCGATACATATATATATCTTTTTCCTCGTTTATATTCTATGCACGTAAAGGTGTGTGTATATATATATATATATAAAGGACTCTTACAAAACGTAACGACGATGATTCAGAATGCACGATTACTCGGAGCATGACACGTCCATTGAATCGAATTGACCTTATAACGATGGCTACGTTGCTTTTCGACGGCTTTATTCGTTTCGAGAACGACGACCGTTGCTCCTCAAAAGAAAGAAAGAAAGAAAGAAAGAGAGTTACGACTCGTCTCCGATCTATCGAGAAAAGGAGTCAAGTGAACACGAACTTGCTTTTTCCTCATCGTCGGAAAGGTTCACCTGTTGCACCGGTATTTCAACGTATCTAATTAAAAAAAAAAAAAAAAAAAAAAAAAAAAAAAGATCAAATGGATCGCGTGAATGGTGGACGGGAATTATTTGTCTTCCAACTAAAGTCGAATACAAAATTCTTTATAAAACATACATCGTGTATAGAATTAATCGTCAAAAATTCGTGTCACTTTGATTCAAAAAAAGATTGCCATCTTAGGAATTTAATTACGAGGAAAGAAAGCAAAGAAAAGCAAAAAAAAAGAACAAAAAACAGGGGAAAAATGGGAAAAAAAAGGGTGCGTTCGTAATTTTAATCAAATGATAATAATTAGATCACGATTAAATCAATGACAATGATAATTAAAAAAATGTATACGTACACCATCGTCTGAGGAATCCTCCCTGCAGCTTAGCGCAAATTCCACGATTTACTCTCATGATCTCTCTTCTATCGATTTCTTCTTATGTCACGTGCACTTAATAAAATCACCACACGGTCGTCGCACTTTCCTCACGAAAAAGAATAAGTAGAGGAAGAAGAAGAAGAAGAAGAAGAAGAAGAAGAAGAAGAGGAAGAAGAAGAAGAAGAAAAATAGAAGAAAAATAAGAAAAAGAAGTATGTAAAAAAAGGAGACTATATAACGCGTATACTTTTATTATCGCACCATCATCATCATCATCGTCTTCGTTATCATCGTCATCATCGTCATCATCATCATTATCGTCGATTGATGAGAAATAACGAGACGAAAATTTGTCCTTACTTTTTTTTTCTTCGTTGTTCTTCTCTTCTCTTTTTCTTTTTTACTTTAGTTTCTCGAATAAGAACAAATATCTTCGATAATTAATTACCATGTATCAAACATAAAAATATTCTCAATCTCGTCTAATACTTTTCTCTTTCCTTTCTCCTCAATTTGTAGTTTTCCTCCTATTTCTTTTTTTTTTCCACTGTCGTCGTCGTCCTCGTCGTCGTTGTCGTCGTCGTCGTCGTCGTCGTCGTAGTCGTCGTGGTGACTCGTTGCGTTCACCGCAACAAAGATAGAAGGAGAAAGTTCAATTCCCTTTTGCCTGAATAACACAGCAACAGCAGCAGGAGCAGCAACAGCAGCAGCAGCAGCAGCAGCAACACCACCACCACGACTACCACCAATAACACCACTACTACTACTACTACTACTACTACTACTACTACTACTACTATTCCTACTACTATCAATAGCAATAACCTGTCGTTCTCGAAATCCCGTTAAATATTCTTCGACTTTAAAATATCTGTTCTCTCATATAACTTGCGGATTCAGATTTCTCCAAAATTTACGATCAATAATTATGACTTTCGACGTTAATCGAAAAGAAAGGTAAGGAAACGGATTGAGATAGAAATAAATAGGAAAAAAAAATATATATATATATATATATGCGTGTATGCGCGTATATGTATGTATGTATGAGTACGTGTATGTATACAGTTATAAAGAGAGATAGAGAGAATGCGTAAGAAAAGGACGACGAGTTTCTCTTTTCTTTCTTGATCTCGCTCGACTGGTCACAACGCACGCGCGTACCTTATCGACGCGAACGATCGTCGCGAACAAACGTATTCGATCGTACTTGTAAAGTGTTTTACTCGATCAAAGAAACAGGTGGAGGTGGAATGAAGAGGAGGAAGCAAAAGCAGGAGTAGAAGAAGAAGAAGAAGAAGAAGAAGTGGAAAAGAAAGAAGAAGAAGAAGAAGAAGAAGAAGAAGTGGAAAAGAAAGAAGAAGAAGAAGAAGAAGAAGAAGAAGTCACGAATCACGGAGAGGGAAAGAACGTATGGGAAAGGAATAGATATAGTGCTATAGTAAAGTGGGAGAAAGGAAGGGAGAGGGAAAAGAGAAGGATGAAAATAAAGATGGAAGGGATGAGGTGGAAGGGTAAAGTGTAATAATAGAGGGAAAAAAAAAAAAAAAAAAAGAAATAGATAATGAAAAAGAAACTGAAGGATCAAAATGGAAAAGGGAATCGATGATATAGTTTCGTTCGGTAACGAGTCAAACGTAACACTAAATGCCCGTACTGTGCGACATTACACTGCCTGTGTTGACTGACTGTGCCTGGTTTTATTCTTGCCGTCGTCGTCGTCGCTGCTGCTGCTGTTGCTGCTGGTTGCTCACGATCATACTCCCCAGAGCTACAGAGTAGGCTCAGGTGAACGATTTATTATTACTCCCACCTTACCATGCCGACACTCCAACTCTTTTATCCCCACTATACATATATATATATATATATATATATATATATATATATATATATATATATATATCTTTCTCTCTAAAGAAACTTTTTATTACTCCACATGTATGGAAAACTTCTTCTTCTTCTTCTTCTTCTTCTTTTTCATCTTCTTCTTCTTCTTCTTTTTCTTTTTATTTTGTCAATGTACCCTGCTACCTGGATTTTCAAGTTCTTTTCCTATTTTTCTATTTTTCTTTTTTTTCTCTCTCTCTCTCTCTCTTTCTCTCTTTCTCTCTCTCTCTTTTCCTTTAATGCATCCGTCCGTCCCTGACAAAATATTTTTCTTCATTCTATAATAACGTCTTGTTTTTTCTTTCCTTTTTCTTTTTTTTTTTACCATTTTCTTTCGACTTAAAAATAATATGTATTACTGATTTTATCCTGTTTACATTGTACAAATCGTTCACGTGCCAAAACGATTAATTTTTTTTTCTTTTTTTTATTTTTTTTTCTTTTTTTCATTTTTCATTTTTCATTTTTCATTTTTCTAATCTCCAAACGTCAATGTTAAATTATATTATGTTACATATAAATTTTTATGTAAATTAATTATGTAATTAATTTATGTAAAAAAAAATTATGAAAATTATGAAAATCGTCGAATGAACGAAACAAATTTTGGATGATCGTTTATTAAATGAAAAATAATGTACGATATAGAAATAATGTAACTTTATATAATTTTATGTCAATTGATTTGACAAATGAATGATTTATTATCTCATATAAAATATACATATATATAGTATTGCAATTTAATCAGATATGAGATCGTTCAGAGTATACAGCACTTTTGGATCTTCATCGAAAGAAATCATTATATATATCAAATATGTATATATAATAAAATTTATCGTTTCCTTAATCGTCATATTTTTCTTTAATCATTCTCATTCGACAGACATTTTCGTTACGAGAAATCGACTGTTAAGAAATAAAAAAAAAAAAAAAATTCGAACGAGTTATGTTATATCAAAAGAGAAACAAAATTATGAATTATCGGTGTCAAATATTTCGTTTAGTTATCAGCTTATATACATACATATATATATATACACATATATATATATATATATATATATATATATAAATGTGGCTTATGTCGTAATACGATCGATTAATCGACCTTTGATGTGACACTGAGATCGCAAAAAAAAAATAAATAAGAAATGAATATTTCTACTTTTTCTTTTCTTTTTCCTCTTACAATTAAATAAATCTTCTTCGAGATTCAATTTTCTTTTTTCTTTCTTGATTCTCAATCCTTTCATTTCTTTTTTTGGTTCCCCACCCCCCTCCCCCCCAATGAACGATAGGGACAACAAGGATGAAAAGTTAATATCATTTATATGCAATCGAAGAAAATTTTTATGATTTATCAAGAATAATAAAATATAATAACAATATTATACAGTCAGCATAATTTTAATGCTATCTTTGTCTCCTGTGATAATTGGATATCTCGTACAAATTCCCAATTTGGCATGAAATACCAATCACACATGAAAACGTGCTATTATTTTTTCTTTTCTCTTTCTCTCTCTCTCTCTCTCTCTCTCTTGTTTTCTCGTCTCATAACAAACAATTTAATGAAAATGACACTTCTGGAAAAGACAAAGTTACATGAAAAAAACGATTGAGATAATGAGATATATATATATATATATATATATATATATATATATACATAAACAACAAATAAATATGATTGACACATATATACGCAAATATGTAAGGTAACATCTCTCTTTATAATAATTAAAAAAAAAGAAAAAAAAAAAAAAAAAAAAAAAGAAAAAAAAAAAAGATTTTCCATCGCGTGACCGATTACTGACCTTTAAATAATAATAAATTACATAGATTTTTGTGATTATACGAGGTACTATTTGAACTGTGCGAAAAAAATAGACGCGGAAAGAAAAAGAACAAAAAATCAGATGCTAGTTCTTTATCGTAGAATATTATAGTCTTTTTCTTATCTATCTTCTTTCCAGTTTTGCTCCATGGTCATTAAAATTATACGAACGATCGTCATCTAATACTTTGCTCTTACCCACGCCATGACATTTCAAATATTGCGACCTTGATCTTTTAATTATTCACTAATCACCGTAATTTTTGCAAACGCGTCGCCTTCGTAAATGACTTTTACAATCGAGACGTTACAAGAAACAAAAAGAAAAAAAAAAGAAACAACAACAAAAAGAAATAAACACACAAGAAAAATTTAATATTCATCGTAATCTTCGTCATACTCAAAATTGCAATAAAATCTTGATAAAATTTTTCATATTTCGAATTGTTCCATTATTTTTTTCTTTCTTCTCGTCAAACTTTCGAATGATCGATTCGAGGGATAAATAAAGAAAAGGAAAAAAGAAGAAAAAAAAAAAAAAAAGAAAGAAAGATAGAAAGAAAGAAAAAAAAAGGAATTCAATGAGAATAATACTTTACGTAAAATCGTGTAAATTTTAATATTTAATATAACTCAGTTTCAAAAGTATCAAAGTATTGTTTGATACTTTTTTTTTCAATTCGACACGTTCTAAGAAAATCCACGATATCCGTCAACTTGGTCGGAACGACAATTATTTAATTTAAGCATGAGCATTATTATTTCCCTCGATTATTCATACGATTCTCATAGTATAAATATATGAATGATATAAATGTATTTCTGTATGCCATACTAATCAATTTATTCATTCTATTAAATAAAAAAATCATTTACTTCGATATATCCTAACTATTACGTTGATAATAAAAATTATGTTATTTCAAAAATTTCTCTGTTGGGTCCAAAGTTCATTATATTTTTTTTTTTTTTTTTTTACGACATCATAATTTCTAAACGTATTCTACTATATACTTATCGAACATTCGAGTATTATACAAGAACGGATGAAACTTCCTATTCATGGCAAGAAATCGATAACGTATAAAGTATCCTCTTGGAAAGAGTATATAATTTTATGACAAAAACAATCGTTTATCATAGATCATGAAATTATTATGTATATCACGGAAAAAAGAAGAAAAAGAAAAAAGACAAAAAAATTAATAATATCCTTTAATTAGTACCTATTGATACGCCATGTTTATTAAATAGACGTAATGTAAGCGAGCATCATTCGATCAATGCAAATCATTTATAAAGATAACTGATAAACGATATAATATTTACTACGTAAACATCTCAATCACTATAATACGATCTGAAAAATAATAAATACGCATTATCGTTATATTTCTACTATAATGATCAAGCATATATTTATATTTATATATATATATTATTTATTTATTTAGTATTTCGATAATAAAATAAATTTCATTAATAAAATTTTAATAAAATTTTTTTAATAAAATTTTTTTTAATTCAATTTTATATAAATATATAAAATATTTAATTGAAATTATAAGATATTTAATTTAATTTAATTTAATTTAATTTAATTTAATTTAATTTAATTTGATTTGATTTAATTACAAATGAATTAATTTTAAAAGAATAAGATTCAAAGGAAAAAAAAAAAAAAAAAAAGAAAAAGAAAACAAAAAAAAGAAAAAAAGAAAAAGGAACAATTTCATTAGTAATATAATAGATGAACTTTTAAAAATAATTAATATGAATTTTATATTATTGTACGCGGATATACGTATCTGCAAATCTATATTGTTTTACGCAGCTTTCGTAACTTCCTTCCTTTTCTTCTTCGCTTTTGTTTCGTCAAACTTCATCTGGTTCACGAACATCGGACAGACGACATATATATATATATATATATATATATATATATGTGTGTTTGTGTTTGTGTGTATGTAAATATGTAACATGGACATATATCCGTGGAACTTATGTGATTCACGATCCGATTTGAACCGACAGATTCCGTCGTGCATACATATTTCAATTCCTATTTCTTGTTTAATCGTTTGACGGCTTGAATGAATCATTTTGATTAGAATCGTTCGTGGTTGGACTTCGACGAATACACGAGTATAGTATTTTAATTTTCACATAATTTGCGATAAATATTCGATAAAAATTATCGTTAGTGTAGTTTTCCCCTCTAGCTTTCAAAATTCTCCTGTAAATTCGTGAAAGATCGAATTATTTTCTTTTTTTTTTTTTCTTTTTTTTTCTATTATTTAAATTATTTATGCTTTTAGAGTTAATAATGGAGCCATCATCAGAAGAAAGAGCCATGTCGTCGAGAGTGATCACATAACTTGAAGCTTATATTAATCCCAGACTTACCTCGACCCTTCATTAGTCATTCTATATAATGAAATCACATATGTGGGCGTGAGAGATCTACTTATATCAGTTAAAATGATCTATATATAGATATACGTACATTACAATACTTATATCATAGATTTTCAAAATATTCAATAGATCAATAAATAGTATGTCAATAGTTCTCTCTTTCTTTTTTCTTTTCTTTCTTTTTTTTTTTTTTTTTTTTTTCTTTTCATGTATCATTTATTCGATTATAAAATATTAAAAATTTTCGATCAATATACGTGATAACATAAAATTATTTATTTATATTTATTTTGATATAAAATGTTACGTCTTTCCTTTTTTTTTTTTTTTTTTTTTTTTTTATTGGTTTTCCCTTTTCTTTAAATAAAAGAAATACTGCTAGAGTATATTTATTCGAGTGTAAAAATAAAAAAAAAAAAAGAAAAACAGGGGGAAAAGAAAACGATAGAAAAAGAAAAAGAAAAAGAATATTTATCATTTATTCAAATATAAACAGTTAAAAACGTCGACATTATTCATTAACCTTGTCTTTTCATTCATATAAAACTAAATTTATTGCAAAAATAATTATATCGTTCACGGTAATCATTATACGATATTGAACATATGAACGTCCACGATACTAAAGTTAATAAACGGTATAATTATTAACCATCGTATATAATTGAAGATCCAGTAGATATAATAAGCTTATAATTAGATTAAGTATAACGTCGTAGTTTCATCCGATTTTTAAGCCAAATCTAATGTATCATTATCTTTCATACAACAAATAACAGTGATTCGAAACTAAAAGAAAAATAAAAAAAAAAAACAAAACAAAACAAAACAAAAAAAGAAAAAGAACAAAGAAAAAAAAAAAATAAAAAAGCAAAAAACCCGCCTTTAGTTATAGAAACTACTCGATTCTCTATAGTTCGCCATAAAGAATTGAAAATTTGATTGACGATGATGATGAGGAAGAGAAAAAAAAAATTAGAAAAAAGGGACGAACGTTAATATCGAAGAGCCAAAGAAGATGGTGGAAGAATGGATGGGGAAGGGGTAGGGTTGGGGCGGTGGGGGAGGCTAAAGAAACAACATAGAACGACGATAATTATCAATTCTCGCCGACATTTATATCTAGCTTTCATCGATGACGTAACGTCCGGCATTATGGTCTGGGAAAAACTCTCACCTCTGAGACGTCGATAGAAATCTCTTACGTTCCTTACGGAAGATAATAATTCCAAACTTATAACAATGGAATCAATGGGAAATAAATATAAAGAAGATGAGAAGAATCAAGGAAGAAGAAAAAAAAGAAAAAGAAATAGAGAAAAAAAATAAAAAAAAAAAAAAAAAAATAATAATAATAATAATAATAATAAAAGATAAATAAATACCTATTTGTATCCTTACAATCAAAGATACGATCTTATTTCTAAGTATCAAAGACATGCATGCAAACTATACTCCTCTCTCTCTCTCTCTCTCTCTCTTTATTTCTCTCTCTCTCTCTCTCTTTATTTCTCTTTCTTTCTTTTTTCCAGGTAGCAACATTTACGTCAGAAATATGGCCGAACGTTAAACGGAAGGAATACAAAGTACAAGGAGGAGTTTCTACTTGACAACTTATGTTTGATACATGAGAATGATACACGTTCATGATGGCTTTGATGTCCAAATATTTCTCGTTATCGATCATTGATATTTCTCTTCCATCAAATGTCTCAATCGTATAAAAAGAAGAAGAAATAAAAAAAAAAAGACATATCAATGATTTATCATTTATTAACAATGAGACGGCTCATTCTTTCTTTTTAATATTTCTTTTTTTTTTCTTTTTTTTTTTCTTTTCTTTTTCTTTTTTTCTTTTTTTTTTACATTCCTTAAAAAATCAAACTCGAAACAATTACGACGATGACGACTACGACAAGGATAATAATGACAATCGAGATGGATAACTGCAATATATATAAATATACATATTTCATTTCTATTTAATATTAAAATTAAGTGATTTGTTTTCAATGGTTGAAAAAATTTTTTAATCGAAGATTCGATTTGCAAAGATACAAGAATAAAATAAAGAGAAAAATAAAAAGAAAGAGAGGGAGAGAGAGAGAGAGAGAGAGAAGAATAAAAATACAATAGATTAAGTATATAGATCGTAAATTTCATTAAGACATCATCGTTCAAAGTTCAAAGTTACACGTTTATCTTCTACATAAATCGATCCTTTAAACTTTCAAGCAATTAATTTCTTTCGTAAAATTATTACTGAAAAAAAAAGAAAAAAGAAAAAAAAAAAATTCACGATATAAATTTTAAGTGCAAAGTGATGTTTCGCAAAAAAAAAAAAAAAAAGAAAAAAAAATAAAATAAAATAGGAAGGAAAAAAAGGTTTACTGTACTCGAGTCATCGAATGATAATAGTGCCATTGGGGCACGTGTGTGTGTGTGTGTGTGTGTGTGTGTGTGCGTGCGTTTGTACTTTTTTTTGCTCTTTTATCTTTTTTGTTATCGAAGCGATACTCATCGTCGGAATATCGCAAATGTTCGATACTTTTTCAAATCGTTCAAATTATGATTAATTCATCTCCATAAAAGTACAAATTACAAAAAAAAAAAAAAAAAAAAAAAAAAAGAAGAACAAGAAAAGAAATTGCAAGTTTAACTGCGAAGAAAATAGACATAAATTTTCTTTCTTCCTTTGTTTTCTTTTCGTTTTTTCCGTTTTTTCGTTTTTTTTAAATTCGTAAAAAGTAAGAACCTGTTTACCTATTAAAAACCATTTAACCATGGAAGATACATTAATGTGATGAATGTGAATATATGAAGAATTTATTTTAATTCAAGAACAAATTTTATATGCCGAAAGAAAAAAAAAAGAAAAAAAAAAAAAACAGAAATTTTGAAAATAAATTAATAGTATGAGGATACGTAGAATCGAATGATTTGATACTTAATTAAAAGAAAGAAATAATTCATTTGTACATTAAATATAAAATAAATTAAATTTTTCTATTAATCTTATGTTAATACAATTTTCTACAATTGTTTTAATTCGACGTAGACAAAAAAAAAGGAAAACGGAAGCCACTTGTTCTCTCTTTTTTTTTTTTGTTTTATGTACAATATATTGCCATTATAAAAAATGTTGGTGACCATTATAAAAAAAAAAAAAAAAAAAATTAAATGACGTCGAAATCATGGACCAAATAAAAACTAATAAATGCCATTATATTTCCATTTCGAATAAATCAAATGAATTCTCGTTCATAAATATATTTCTGAAAGATATTCCCATATTTCTAAGATTAATTATACAAATTTTTAACGTTATATTTTAAACAATCCCATATAAATACTATAATAAACGATTAGACGATTAAATCAAAACCTTTTAAAGTTAAATAAGATTTAACGATAGTCATTGAACGTCTGAAAATCATTATAGAAGAAAATCATTATAAATAAATTCTTAAAAATAATTTCTAATTATAAGTTAAAAAGAGGTAAACGAATGATCATCGTACAAAATGAATTACCAAAGGCAGAATATATATATATATATATCATAGTCGAGGTCGTTCGGTATCGATACCGTGTAAGTACATATGTAAGTACTTACAGATAGTTAAGTCGATAGTTTTCTTCCATTGGTCCGGAATCTCTCGAACTTGATTGATACATAAATGTACATGGACGATTCATGTCGAGGTAACCTTGGAAATTATAAAGAAGGAAAGAAAAAAAAAGAAAAGAAAAAAGGGGTTAATAAAAAAAAAAAATAAATAAATAAACATTTAAAGTATCAAATCAGATATGAGTTATCGTTAGATGGAATCGAATTTAATGACTTCTTTCGATTGTAATGATAATATGAAAAAAAAAAAAAAAAAAAAAAAAAGAAAAAAAGAGGAAAGAAAACAAGAGTAATAAAGTAGTGACATAGTCAAGTAAAAACGATAATAATATAATTATTTGCACGGAAGTATGATTAGTAAACAACTTAAATGGAATACTTTCGACGTAACAACGATGTTTATTATAATATCGAAGAAAAGAATCACGTTTTCTTGAGTATTATGCAAAATTGTTATCGTCCCAAAAAAAAAAAAAAAAAAAAAAAAAAAAAGAGAGAAAGAAAAAGGATAGAGAACAAAGATAATTAAATAAAATGACTTTAAATATCTCGTAAGAAAATTCTGATAATTATTAATATATAGTTGATTAATAATAAATAAAAGGTAAATATATTTCATTAATAGATCCTGATCGATCGTTCACGATATTTCAATCAATATCACCAATCGAATTTTTTCCATTAATATCTTATTATATACTTCTGGAAGAAATAAATTACTTGACTACGAAATCTATAAATAACCCTTTTAATATTTTTTTTTTTTTACATTTCTTTTTTTTTATTTTCCCCACCCCATTTCTCCTCCCCAAATCCATCTCATTATATTTTATTTTATATCGCATGATCGCTTGTAACAATGAATTATTAAATCCTACGATAGACACACACACACACACACACATGTGTGTGTGTGTATTTGTGTGTGTGTATGTACGTACGCACTTGTTAAAATAAAGTGCGAGTTAGAAATGTAAAGGACACACTGAGAAAAATGAGTGAGAACGACCCACTTCCTTCATTATTGCGTTAAGCTTAATTGAAAAGATCTATCTTTCCCTAAGTTGAAAAAAAAAAGAAAAAAAAAGAAAAAGAAGAAAAAAAGGAAAGAAAAAAAAAGAAAGAAGAAGAAAAAAAATGGAGTGAAAAAAGAAAAAAAAAAGAAAAAGAAAGAAACATATTCCGCTGCAAAGTAATCCCTCGAAAAGATAACGCAACGCCAACGAATTAACATAATTCTCGCGATGATACTATAATGAAAGCGAGACAAACGAGAAAATTACATCAGAGATGTAATGAAACGAAATAAATAGAACATACTTTTAAAATCTATCTCTCTTCTAATTTATATAATATATATTATTCTAACACGACCAAACGTATATAATCCTTAATATCTCGTCGTCTGTGATTAAAAAAAAAAAAAAAAAAAAAAAAAAAAAAAAAAAAGAAGGATAAAAAGAAAAGAAAAAATAAATGAATTAATAAATGTCTAATAAAAATAAATTAATAATCTATTTTTTAAACATAATAATAATAATAATAATAATAATAATAATAATAATAATAATAATAATAATAATAATAATAATAATAATAATAATAATAATAATAATAATAATAATAATAATAATAATAATAATAATAATAATAATAATAATAATGATGATGATGATGATGATGATGATGATGATGATGATGATGATGATGATGATGATAATAATAATAATAATAAAAGTTAAAAAAGAAAAAGAAATAAAAAAGGAGAAAAAAAAGCGTATCCCATAAAAGTGAACGTTCCTTTCACATAATGTTTCAAATGTCCTATTACAAAACTATGCAATCAATCCTATAAAACGTGATTATGTTAAACCATTTTTATATTCCGTGTCAATGGCATTGATGTTGTAAATACGATTTACTCGATCATGCGATATCGAAAGATCAATTTGAAGACCGATTCTGTCGAGTTCGACGACAACGTTAGAATGCCAAATGTTACAACGAGCTCAATGATATCTCATGGTTTGCACCGTGACTAAAATTCTATATGTACGATAAAGTTATTTATAAATTTTCTAATGACGATTGAATTTCACACCTATTTTTTATAATCCAAATATATACGATTAAACAAAGAGCATCTCATTTATCTATTTGTAAATATATATTTCAACAAAACAAAACAAAACAAAAAAAAAAAAAAATCGTACGAACGCATCTCTACATAATGACATTAGAAAAATTGGAAAAAAAAAATATAAATATATATATGTGTGTGTGTGTGTGTGTGTATGAACTTATTTGTAACTTGACGAGTTAAGTTATATATTAAATTTATCATGCGAAGGGACATATTAGATCTTACTTTTAATCCTTGATATTAATCTTGTAATGATCATCGGAATTCAAAACGTTTAATATCATTGCAAGATCATTGTGTAAGATTAAGAAACGTATCCAAAATTAAAATTCTAATCACGTAATGGCTCCTTACCAATGCTTACGGGTGCAATTGACCACGTTGTTGTTATTGTTGTTGTTGTTGTTGTTGTTGTTGTTATTGTAGTTGTTGTTGTTATAACTGGTGCTCCTTTATCGATTTTCATAAGTAATATGTTTTACAACAAGTGCGGGCTTTTTTTTCCTGGGTTTTACATAAGAAAGAGAGAGAGGGAGAGAGAGAGAAAGAGACAAAAAAAAGAAAAGAAAAAGAAAGATAAGTTAAAGACCAAGATCTTTCATTTGTGAGAACAAACGCAAATGAGGATCTTTATTCCATGGCATAATTTAAAAACTCCGTACTCTTTGCATTATAAATTGGTCACGTAGGCCATAGATACAAAACTTCTTCCTCTTACGAACGTACGCATAATAAGGAGTCGTTTAGTATTTTTCCTTTTTTCTTCATTTTTTTTTCTTTTTCTTTTTTGTTTACATCAGGATAGTATATATTTCTTTAACAGCATTGACGTGAAATGCATATGTACGTACAATTAAATCATCGCAAATGTACATCCATCTTAGAATAACTCTGTTTATACCTCCTCATGTATGAAATTATGGAAAAAAAAAAAAAAAAAAAAAAAAAAAAGAAGAATCAAAATATGCATGAAACTTGTAATATCTTCAGATGATTTTTTCGAGGCATATAATAAAAAAAAGAAAAAAGTATTTGTTAAGAAAAAAACTTATCCCAAGATGATGATAATAAATATCGTTATATCTTAATGATGACAATAAATATTGTTATATCTTAATGATTATTAATAAATGATCCTGCCCATAAATTATCTAGAATAAAATGTCTATTCTTTTTTTCTTTTTTGTTTTTTTTTTTTTTTTTTTTTTTTTTACAGGTTATTACGGTATTTAAAATACCTTTCATTTATTATTACTGCATGCTAAATGAGTTCTCTCATTAACATAACATAATATAATAAATTTACTTATCTACTACAAATATACAATTATTAACATTTTATCTGTCAATCTCACCAAATACTACATCCAGTGTACCAATAATGGCTACGATATCGGCAAGCATATGACCTGGTCCTATATATTTCAAACAAGCTAAGTGTGCAAATCCAGGAGCTTTGATCTTACACCGATATGGTTTACTAGTACCATCACTAACAAGATATACTCCAAATTCACCCTTTGGTGCTTCGATAGCAGTATATGTAGCACCAGGTGGTACCTGAAAACCTTGTGTATATAATTTAAAATGATGAATTAAAGCTTCCATACTAGTTTTCATTTCTTCTCTACGCGGTGGTACAACTTTAGCATCGTCGCATCTCACTTCACCAGATGGCATTTTATTTAAACATTGCTCGATTATCCTAAGAGACTGACGCATTTCTTCAACTCGAATGAGATACCTAATATTGGATTAAATATATATTTAATAAATACAAATACACTTGTAGATTTTGATTAATATTATTAATAATATTACCTATCATAACAATCACCATTTACACCAACAGGAACATCAAAGTCAACTAAATCATATGCATCATATGGTGCAGTTTTTCTCAAATCCCATTTAATTCCAGAACCCCGTAACATTACTCCGCTAAAGCCCATATTCAATGCATCTGCTGCTGTAACTATACCAACATCTTTTGTACGTTGCATCCATATTCTATTTTCAGTTAACATGTCTTCTACTTCATCAATTCTTTCAGCATACTGCGAAGCCCATTCATGAATATCATCTAATAAACCTAATGGAAGGTCCAAAGACACTCCACCAGGTCTTATATAAGCAGCATGCATACGTGCTCCACTAACTCTTTCATAAAATTCCATTAATTTTTCTCTTTCTTCAAACAACCAAAAGAATGGGGTCATTGCACCTACATCCAATGCATGAGTTCCTATTCCCATAATATGATTCAAGATACGAGTGAGTTCCGCAAATAATACTGTAATAAAATAGATTTATGTATTCATTAGATATAGTCTGAACCATCAACTTCATTGTGAGTATATATAATTTAAAAAAAAAAAAAAAAAAAAAAAAAAAAGAAATGTATACATTCCTATATCACTTATTACGTCAATATTATATATATCTACCTCGAATATATTTTGCACGCAGTGGTACATCTATATTTAATAATTTCTCAATTGCTAAAGAGAAACATTGCTCGTTACACATCATAGAAACATAATCTAAACGATCAAAGTATGGTAATGCTTGCATATATGTTTTATATTCTATAAGCTTTTCTGTTGCTCGATGCAAAAGACCAATATGTGGATCAGCTCTGATTACAATTTCTCCATCTAATTCTAATATCAAACGTAACACTCCATGAGCTGCCGGATGTTGAGGGCCAAAATTAATTTGTACATTTTTCACTTTCCGTTCATGCAATTTATCTTCAAAGTTTTGCGATGGCAATTGCCATCTTACAGAATCAACTGGTATAGCTCGTGGATTTTTTAATGAGATCATATATTCTATATCTGGAGCCCAATCATGACTATGGCGATGTTGTCTATAAAAATTACTTTATGATACAATGTCTATTGTTGTAGTATTGGCAACTTACTTAATAAGAAAGAAAAAGAAAAAAATATCGTTACATAAATTATTACGAAGAATCGTATTACATTCACAATTATTCTATGGTACTTACGTTGTTGGATATATTCGTGTAAGATACGGTGCATCATTATACAATCCTACAGATTTTCGTAGGACTGTCCTTAACACTCCAGTGGCCATGATCTAAAACCAATCTAACACAGCTGTCCACCAACAACTGCACACAAATCTTCAAATTCTCCAAGCAAATACCAAAGTTAGGTTACGTTAACTAAGACGAAAATGACGAAAACCGAACACAACCGAACTTAAACGAACATGAACGACATCTTCGAGCTTCGTTGAGCTCAATCGATCATACGACAAATAATGTTTTTGAAGTATTTATTAATACGATTAAAAAAATGATTCTATCTTATGATTATTCTCATTTAAAAGATATAAATAATAGTACGACATAAATGTTCTTATGAAAACAATACGAAAGACAAATATCGACATTTGCTGTAATACTCTACTACGTATGTCTATATAGTACGTATTTATTTGGTACGTGCCATATATATATATATATATTAACATTTAAAAATATGATTATTTAATATGCGTTCGAAAAGCTCATATAAAAAAAAAGAAAATACGATTCATTTAATTTAAGTATTGGAAGTTAATATATTACTTCATGTTGGTAATTATAAGTTGATTACTTTATATTATTAATATATATAAGATAATTATAACGAGCTATTAATATTCTAAACTAAATACCGATAGATATATTGTCTCTATATGTACAAATCAATAAAATTAGAAATAATAAAATTTATATAACATATAATATCAATTGTCAAATATTTTAAGGTTATTCAAAAGACCAGCTTGCAAATGGTAGATAGAATACATTTCATAACAATATCATAAGAATATAATAAAATTACTTACTTATTATCATCCTGTTAACAAGATCATCTATCTATATCACCAAATACTATATCTAATGTACCAAGAATAGCAACAATATCTGCCAGCAAATAACCAGGTCCAATGAAACTCAATGTTGCTAGATGAGCAAAACCAGGACTTCTAAGTCTACATCGATATGGTTTAGAGCTACCATCACTAACAAGATAAACTCCAAATTCACCCTTTGGTGCTTCAATGGATGTGTATGTAGCACCCGGTGGTACTTGAAAACCTTGTGAAAATAATTTGAAGTGATGGATAAGTGCTTCCATACTGGTTTTCATTTCTTTCTTGCTTGGCGGTACAATTTTGACATCATCACATTTCACTTCACCGCATGGAATTTGATTTAGACATTGATAAATTATTCTAAGTGATTGACGCATTTCCGTAATGCGTATGAGATATCTATATTCCAATAAACATAATTTAATAAATACAAATACTCTTATAAACTAATTTATTAATTTTATTACTAATTTTAATTAATTTTATTATAATTAATTTTATTACTAATGTTACCTATCATAGCAATCTCCATTTATACCCACAGGTACATCAAAGTCAACTAAGTCATACGCATCATATGGTGCAATTTTTCTCAAATCCCATTCAATACCAGATCCCCGTAACATTACTCCACTGCATCCAAAATTTAATGCATCTTTAGCTGATATTATACCAATATTCTTCAAGCGTTGAATAAAAATTCGATTTTCAGTTAATAAATCTTCTATTTCATCAAGTCTTTCAGAATATATACTAGCCCATT